ATAAAATTTATATGCAATGGTATATTATATACAAAGAACTATATTTTTTTAGAAAATTATAAGATAAATCTAATAAAATCATTCTTATATCACTTTTTAATATAGATTTCATTTAATTAATGGTCCCCTTTGCTATGTTTAATTATAAAAAATTAAAACTGAACATATATTGTGGAATAGTATATTAATATCGAGTAATAGTCAATTTTATTTTCTCATTTTACGCCCAATATTGAGTACTATCCCTCCCATCTTGATTATTTGTCTAGCTTTGATTATTTTGCAATCAATCACTTTCAAATTTTGACTTATGATTAAATAAAAATTTATACTTCGTAGTATATTAATTAGATAAAAAAAACATTTTGAAGATATTTTATAAAAAATCTAATAAAACTATTTTTACATCAATATCTAATTATCTGTAATATTTTTTTATTTATATTCAGAGTTTGGTAATTTTACGAAAAACCAAAACTAGACTAGTTATGCTAGGTGTATTAATTTTCAAATAAAATAAGTTCTCTCCCACTTTGGATGGATAATTCATAGAGGCCAAGCTAAACTCCGGAATTTGCTGTTGTATTTAGTTTCCGCCATGGAAACCAGTCAAGCCACCGTCTGTTCCTCCGATCACCCATGGCTTCTTCTACTCCTGTTCATCATCGGATTCGCCAAGCTCATCTCCGTCTCTACGACCATTCTCAAATGGGTCGTCGCCCATTTCCTCCGACCCGCAAAGAATCTCAAGAAATACGGGTCGTGGGCTCTGGTCACCGGACCCACCGACGGCATCGGAGAGGCGTTCGCCTTCCGGCTAGCCCGCGAGGGGCTCAATTTGGTTCTGGTGGGTCGGAACCCGGAGAAGCTGAGAACCGTTTCTGACCGGATCCGGGTGAAGTTCAACGGGTCGACCCGGATTAAGACGGTGGCGGTCGATTTCTCCGGCGACTTGGACGACGGGGTCCGGAGAATCAGGGAGGCGATCGACGGGTTGGATGTCGGGGTTCTGATTAACAACGTCGGGGTGACTTATCCGTACGCCAGATTCTTCCACGAGGTGGATGAGGAGCTTATGGAGGCGTTGATTAAGGTGAACGTGGAGGGGACGACTAGGGTCACGCTGCAGGCGGTGTTGCCGGGGATGGTCGAACGGCGGAGCGGGGCGATTGTGAATATCGGGTCGGGTACCGCCGGAGCCATCCCTTCCGCTCCGCTTCACACTCTTTATTCCGCCACCAAAGCGTAAGACATTTCTTCTTTCTTAGAGAGTTAGAGTGCGACAGCGCGCCAAAAAAAAAAATTAGTACGACGGGCCTAACATTTAAAGCCCAAAGTCTTGACAGGCTAACATTTGAAGCCCAAATTATCTCTATATTTGATTGAATTTATTTTCAACTTCATAAGATTTAAAACTAAAATTGAATTCAAGAGTAAAGTTACTATATTCAAAAATTACACCAAGATTTTTACAAAACAAATGAAGCCCGAATCATCCATACAACTTAGTTTTTGTTTTGATTTATTCCTTAGTATTCTGTATTTTTGATTAAATTTATTTTCAAGATTAAGTGAGAAAGACCAAAGTATGACTAAAACATTGAAAATATACCAAAATAGAAATTTCATGTTTTTATTCCTAAAATAAGATTTAAAATGCATTTACATTACCGAACATAGTAATGTACAATACCAAAAAGTATGGTAACGTGCACATGTACAATGTAATGTCACATTACAATCACATTACCACAGTGTGAAATCCTATTTCGAGAAAAAAAACATGAAAATCCTATTTTGGTACCTATCTCTATGTTTTAGTCTTATTTAGGGTGATTTCTATAAAATTAAAAATCAAAATAGAATTGAAGAGTAAAAGTTATTATATTTAAAAATCACACCAAGACTTTTACAAAATACGTAGTAAATGATTGTTTGACTATTATGATTGTTTGACTATTTTATTTTACGTAGTATTTTACTAGTATTTTAAATGTGCTTGAATGAGTGTTTTCATTTCATAATTTTTTTTGTTTAGGTATATTGATCAGTTTTCAAGAAGTCTTCACAGGGAGTACAAAACACGTGGGATTCATGTCCAATGTCAGGTTTGCCCTCCTCGCTTAATTCTATGACTACGGTAATCTTTTTTTGGTATTTATTTAGATAATTAAGGGTGTAAATTCCTTTAAAAAAAGATGCAAATCGATCATTATATCAAAAAAGTAATCAATAAGATAAATTACCTAATCTTTTTCCTAAAAGGGCAATTTAGCATTTTATTTTCCTAAAATTCCCATAAAACATAGTACTACTTATGTCCTTGAGTATTGGTCTATTTTTTTTGTTTTTAGAAGTTAAAATTATTAAATTTTTACCCGTAATTAAATAAAATCGATATTGGATATTGATACAAATAGTTGACTCCAAAAAGTCAAAACTAGTGTTAAAGAATATCCCACATCGGAGCTTGAAGAGAAAATAAACCGGTATATAAGCCCTTGAGTTGAACTAACTAATCGATTGGATTCAATCTTTTAATGTGGTTCAACCCAAGTGTCTTATTGCCTAATCCAGTTGTCCATACCCATCCTAAATTCTATCATGGTATCAGAGACAGTTTTAGCCCACCTCGTTTGTCAAGGTGTCCGTCTAGACGTTCATTCCTAGCGGCCCGTTAGTCTTTAGCCCAGTTATCCGTATGGAGGTTGTACCCAACGGCCTGTGGCCTGTTTAACACGATTGCCCGTCTGGAAGTCCATACCCAGTGGCTCGTGGTCCTTTAGGTGTTGGTGCTAAAAAAATCAAGAGGATGGGAGTCCATTTGCAAGTGGTCAACCGGTTAGATTCAAAATGACCCGGTTGTCCACTTGAGGGGGAGTGTTAAAGAATATCTCACATCGGAACTTGAAGAGAAAATAAACCGGTATATAAGCCCTTGAGTTGAACTAACTAATCGATTGGATTCAATCTTTTAATGTGGTTCAACCCAAGTGTCTTATTGTCTAATCCAGTTGTCCATACCCATCCTAAATTCTATCAACTAGACAAATATTACGGACAGAGATCATAATTATTTCTGTGTTGGTTCATATATATACTACAGGTTCCCTTGTATGTGGCAACCAAAATGATATCAATCCAAAAGCCTTCATTCTTCATCCCATCAGCAGATGATTATGCAGGGGCAGCAATGCGTTGGATAGGGCATGGAGATGAGAGTTGCACACCATATTGGCCCCATTCTCTTCAATGGGCTCTCCTCTCCTACTTGCCACACTCCATTGTCGACGCCTGCCGCTTCAACGCTTGCCTCCGGATCCGAGCCGAGGGACGACGCAAGGAGACGGAATTGCAACTCATGACACGGCTCAAACCCGAAACGCACCACTTAGGGAAACGCTTCGGTAAGGCGAGGCCAGATGACGATATATATGGTTGACATCAGCTGAATAAAAGCAGTCGCGGTGTCAACTTTAGTGTTATTCGCGGACGGGTTGTGCTCAAAATATATATTGTATCATGTATGATAGAAGCTAGAATTTGTGGTCCTTTATTTAGTTATTTTAATGTAGGTGCAATTGTCACAAAATTGACATGATCATCTAATTGCACCATATTAAATGTGATTATTAATTAACATCACACCCATCTTCTAGATTTATTTGAGTATTACTCATAACATTTTATTGTTTTCAACATTTTCAAACTCCTACTTGTTTCCAACTTTCAACTATGTTTTTACAGCTCAAACAAGCAGAACCTAAGAGTTCAAGCTTGTGGTTATTGTAGGTCCATAACAAGTTTTTATAATCTAACACACTTTCTAACGTGTAGGCGTGACTTTTTTGAATCTTGCACATGAAACCTTTTCTTTTAAATTGGGTGCAAGTAAATTTCGAACTCGTGACTTCTCGATCTACACATGTCTTTGATTATGTCAAGGAATCAACTAAACTAAAAGTTCAAACTTGTGATTGTAGGTCTAGGAAACATTTTATATTCTAACAATTAAAGACGGGTGTCTGAACACAATATTAATTTGAAACTCGGCCTTTTTTGAAAGAAACTAATCAATTAAATTAAAAAAGAGGTACAATAAAAATTGGAGGGGGAACTAACACACTCTGTAACGCTCTCTATAGAATGAGTAGTTCGCGCCAACATATCCCTTGCCTCATTAAAGGAGGGATGAACAAAATGAAAACTCGAGCTTAAACAAATTGAAAACTAGAACTTTACATGCAGCTAGAAACTATTCTTTCTCTTTGGGAAAATTGACTATTGAGATGAATGGTGTGTATATATATATTCTATTGTACGTTTACTTTTCAATTTCTCTTGACGTAATGGATAAATATAGAAAGTGAGGGTGGGGTATATTAATAGTAAATAAACATTATGTGATACATAGATTAAATATGGTTTAGACTCTTTTATGTTCGATCATGAAATTTTTTTGTCTGTGTAATGTCTGGAATCAAAATGGTGGCTAGGTATCCCATTAGCATTTTTTAGGGGAGATTTATAAGGTGAACATTTAGCGTGATGTAACTGCTCAACCTAACATATTTGTCTTTAACTTACTCAGAATAAATTTCACAACTGCCTCGCCATTAAGACGTTTTGTTTGTTTTGTTTTTTTCCTTCAACTTTTTAAACTCCGTGACTTCCGTTCCAAATCTCGTAATTTGTGCGTTTTAATTTTAAAATTTCAATCTTTATTTTAAATTACTAGTGTATTCAAACTCACAAACTCAAGCTTACGTATATATGATTAAACTCTAACGATAAAATTGATAGCCAAAGCATTGTCTCTAAGAATATATAACATTCAAATAGAGTTTTAAAAAAAGTTATTTCTCTGCAATCAAAATGGTGTCACTCTAGGTGTCTCATTAGCATTTTTGAGGGGAGATTTATAGGGTGAACATTTAGCGTGATGTAACTGCCCAACCTAACACATTTGTCTTTAACTTACTCAGAATAAATTTCACAGCTGCCTCACCATTAAGATGTTTTGTTTGTTTTGTTTTTTTTTCCTTCAACTTTTTAAACTTTGTGACTTCCATTCCAAATCTCGTAATTTGTGCATTTTAATTTTAAAATTTCAATCTTTAATTTAAATTACTAGTGTATTCAGACTCACAAACTCAAGCTTACGTATATATGCTTAAACTCTAACAATAAAATTGATGGCCAAAGCATTGTCTCTAAGAATATATAACATTCAAATAGAGTTTTAAAAAAAATTATTTATAATACTTTATTTTGAAATTTTAATTAAGTTATAGATATATATTCACAGTGTTATAAATAAAATAAAATTTTGAAGGTAATAAAAATTCATAGAAAAATAAGATGGAAAATATTATATAATTAAAACTGGTTAGAAAAGACAATGATATATACTCTAAAATCATAAATGGAGTTTTTACATCACCTTTCTCATGGGCACAAAGAAACATTGAATATCGTCAGTCATATCAATGCTAAGAAAAATCCAATTGTGACATTACTTTTGACATTAAAAATAAACATAGACTCTTGCATTAATATTAGAGCAATGTAAATGGGGGTGTGAGTCCCAAATCCACTGCTCTAATATTAATGCAAGAGTCTATAGGTTGTTAAACACCGTTTTGGATGCCATAGAATGACCTTAGTCTCTTAGAGAGCTCCATTAGTAAAATTAATGATTCTTATTGTCCTAAATCTCGCCTGCCTCCTAGCTCTTTTTTTCCTCAGGAGAGGACGTACGGTCATGGGTGTAAGGGATTAGGTGAAGTATGAATTATCATTTTTTTAATTACAGAGCCCCATAGGCATTTTTAGTCATCATATGACATTAATTTCAATGTCACGGGCTTCCCATTTTGGTGTCAAAATAAAATTCCCCCAAACTATTTCACCATTGCACTTCTGTATATAACTGCAGTCATAACTATGTTGTGTGTAACAAAATTCAGCCTTTAATTTAGCCACTAAGCTCATTGTCAGGGACAATGGAGACCAATTTCTATGAACAATATCTCAAATCCCAGCCCCCATGGCTTCTTCTTCTTCTCGTTCTCGGCTTCTTCAAACTTCTCGCCACCTCTGCAACTGTTCTCAACTGGGTCCGGGTCAATTTCCTCCGACCCGCCAAAGATCTCAAGAAATACGGGTCCTGGGCTCTGGTCACGGGCCCCACCGACGGCATCGGAAAGGCCATCGCCTTCCGGCTGGCCGACAAGGGGCTCAATTTGGTTCTGGTGGGCCGGAACCCGGAGAAGCTGAGAGGGGTTTCCGATTGGATCCGGGGCGAATTCGGGCAGACCCAGATTAAGACGGTGGTGGTGGACTTCGCCGGCGATTTGGACGACGGGGTTCGCCGGATCCGGGCGGCAATCGAGGGGCTGGACGTGGGGGTGTTGGTCAACAACGTCGGCGTTTGTTATCCGTACCCGAAGTTCTTCCACGAGGTAGATGAGAAGCTTATGGCGGAGCTGATTCGGGTGAACGTGGAAGGGACGACGAAGGTGACCCAGGCGGTGGTTCCCGGGATGCTACGGCGGAAGACTGGCGCCATAGTCAACATCGGCTCCGGCACCGCCCTTGTTATCCCCTCTGCTCCGCTTCATGCTGTTTATGCCGCCACTAAAGCGTAAGCCATTGCAATGCATTTTTTTTGAATGCTATTGACTCTATTACAAGGTAGTATCTGTTCATACTATTCTCAAGCTAATGACTAATGACGCACAAAGAGCCAATGCTGCTGCCTTCGCTGGGGCTCGAACCTGGGTGAACTTCCCCATGAATCCTGGGGAGTGGGATTGCTCCTGAGAAGTTCCTTTGCAATGCATTAATTAAACGGTAGTTAAATGCATTTTTCAAACAAAAAAGTCAAATTCTAGGGTGATATTCGATCTACGACATAACTACGGAGTATATCACTAAAATAAGCATTTTTCTATTTTATCTTTTTTTAATTGAAAAAATAGATTTTTTTTATGGAAGAAGATTTACAAAAATTGTTTACAGTCAAAGTGCACCAAAGAAGCACTCAACAAAAAATATTTACTATGTATAGCAAAACTTAGGTGTTCTTTGGGAAGAGCATTTCCAAATAACGTTAACGTTTTGGATAAAATTTTTATGCTGTAAATTAATCTCAAAAACACTAATGATAACCTTTAGATAATTTTTTCAAAAACGTTAATGATAACCTCTAACGTTGATACCAAAGGGGCCTTAAACTTCTATGTTCCAAATTAATAGTACATCCTCTACCCCGCAAAAAACTTTCTCTTTTGACTTTTAAAAGATTTAGATTTAAAGGAATTTTAATATTGACTTTCCAAAAATACTTTTTTAAGAAAAGGGTGAATAATTAATAGAGTAAAAGTGTGATGCAATAGATATATTAAGAATTAATATGAGTAAAAGTAAATTTTTAATAGAAAAGTAAAAAAAATTTTGAGACAGATGAAAAAAAGAAGAGTTTTTCGGGACAAAAAGAGTATTTTTTTTATTATAGGTTTTTTTAAAGTATATTTATATATGGTCAAATAATCACATTTTACATATACTGTAGAGTATAACAATCAAAGTAGAAATTTTTTTTGGGACAACGGGAGAATGTGGGTATTAGCAAACCTTTATCCCTAATCTAAACAAATTATAACATCACACTTTTTACTATTCAATAATTTTTTTAAAAATTTCAAAATTGAGAATATGAAGAATTTTATGAGACGAATAGTTTATTTAAGTGAAGAGGTGCATTTCTAATCCTTAAAATCATCTAAGTTTGAGGTGGGTTCATGAAATTGGAGAAGAAAAGGTGATGACTAAATTTTCTTGGTTTGGGTGGTGGCACCAACAACAGATACATAGACCAATTCACACGGTGCCTTTATGTGGAGTACAAGAGACACGGGATTGATGTTCAATGTCAGGTATTACGAACGTTACATTGGTGTGTACCACATTGCTATTTACTACCAATATATAGGTCCCTTTGCCTTTAATTATTTTCATCTCCCTCCCATGTTTTTATTCATTTATTATCGCGGAGTACTAGGATGACAATTCTACCTGAATTTGACTTTTATCGATTTGATCGGAGCTTATAATGAACACAATTTCACAACTTGCTTCGATCACTAGAAATTTCTCCCTGTACTACTAATACACTCTTCGTTCACTCTCAATAACAACTCATTAACATCGTCATCATTAAGAGTGATATACTCCCTCCGTCCCATAAAACCTTTCTTCTTTCTTTTTTTATCCGTCCCACAAAACACTTCTCATTTCTATTAAAAAGTCACTTTTACCCCTTACTTTTTCATATCCTAAGTATCATATCATACTTTTTTACTAATAATTCATCCATCAAATCATGCTTTTACCCATCACATCAAAGGACATTTTTGGAAATTCAATACCAAAATACACTGCCCTTAAATCTCTCCTAAAAAGCAAAACTCCCATGTTTCACGGGACGGAGGGAGTATATATATAATAAGAAAGGTTCATCAATAAATTCTACAATTCCCCATATACATTTATACACAAACTACTCTTTTTAGCATAGTGCAAGTGTGCAACTCTAGAGAGACCATGCAAGTAGATTGTTAAGCTACCTGGATTTGTAATCAGTGTGCAATCTTGGAGTATTACTATAGGAAATATTGAATTTTGGATAGTACTAATTAATCTTTTCTGAAAGTATTTCATAAATTCATGTAAAACAAACCATGTGTCTTGATGCATGCATGCAGGTGCCCTTGTATGTGGCGACGAAGATGATATCGATGAGAAAATCGTCGTTCCTCATTCCGTCCCCAGATGGTTACGCTAAGGCGGCGTTGCGTTGGATAGGGTACGACGGGAACTGCACCCCGTACTGGCCCCACACGCTTCAGTTGGCTTTAATCCATTGCTTGCCTGACTCTTTTGTGGATGCTTGGCGCTTCAACGCCATGCTCCAGTATCGGAAGAGAGCTCAGCTCAAAGAATCCCTTAAGAAGAGAGATTCTTGACACCCCACACACACACACACATCTCAAAAGATGTAATATATATTTGTGCGCAATTAGACTTATTGTTGTTGCAATATATATATAATGCTACTCAGTGTAATAATTAAATGACATAATAATTAATCTCTGTATTGAACTTCGAATGCTTTTGCTTCATTCCCTAGGCCTTGTAACATGTAATAATGAAAGATGTGCAAATGTTTAATGGTCTGAGATTTTGAGGCCTGTTTGGATGGTTGAAAGTGTTTTTCTTGACTCACCCACTCCAGATCATCTTTTACTTCAGCAATATTATATCCTTGTTGAGCTACATACACCAACATAGTGAGAGTACTTTGAGTAATAGTGTAGAAATTTGTGAAAGACTGAATTGATTTTCATTGAGTATTCACAAAGTATATATACAAGCAAGTTTCCTAATACAAATATGGTAAGGATTACTTACAAGGAAATAAATACATACAAGGAAATAAATAAACAAATATATGCTAACACTCCCCCTCAAGTTGGAGCATGGAGATCACAAATGCCCAACTTGGATAGTAAGAACGCAAAGAGTGGTCTGTTCAAGGCTTTAGTAAATAAATCAGCAATCTGTAAGCGAGTTGGAACATATGCTGTGGCGAGCTCACCGCGCTGAACACATTCTCGGACAATATGACAATCGATATCAATGTGTTTCATGCGCTCATGGAAGACAGGATTAGCAGCAATAAACAGAGCAGACTTATTATCGCAAAACAGACAAGGTGTCGTCGGTGGAGTAACGCCGAGTGCCCCAAGAAGACCACGAATCCACCGTACTTCTGCACATGCATTAGCCATAGCACGGTATTCGGCCTCTGCTGAAGATCGGGACACGGTGGTTTGTTTCTTCGTCTTCCAAGAAACCGGGGAACCACCAAGGAGAATAAAATAGCCGCTAATAGAACGGCGAGTGAGGGGACACGTTGCCCAGTCGGAATCACTATAAGCTGATAACTGTAAGGAACTGTCACTACGCAAAAGAATACCCTGACCAGGATGACCCTTCAAGTAACGAAGGACTCGTTTGGCAGCTTCCATATGATCGAGTCGTGGTGCATGCATAAATTGAGACAGAACATGAA